TTCTAAAAAAAAAAAAAAAAAAAAAAAAAAAAAGGAAGCCAGTTTCTTCATTTCGTTCAACAATTGGGAAACATTCTTTGGATTTCGATTGACTTGAAGAAAGCTGCTCAAGTCCTTAAGCCCCCGTGAAGCAAGTTGTCTTTTCACCTTTTGATTCCTTACTCTCCGATACTTGCAACCAAATAGTACCTCCCGTTTGAATCCAAAAGAGTTATCTACTTGGCAAGAGACCGTATTTCTCCTTCACATGATGATGATTCTAATGTTAAACCTAACGTTTACATGAGCACTACGGAATCAGTTACATAACCTAACATGAAGAATATTGTTCATGATGATTCTCATTTTGAAGCTTTTGGTTTATTATTTCCTTTTTTTTTTTATTTTTTTTTTTTTATAGGAATCAATTTCATTGATGTATGGAATTTACAAAAAGGGTGGGTAATCCAGAAGAATTACAAAAGATTTTCCTAGTAGTTAAAAGGGTAGCGTCACTATATGAATTTACACCAAGAGATATCATAGAAAACAACGAGGTCAAAAAACATCAAGAGGTTGTGCCCAGAACCCTTGGCAACGCTTAAGTGTTCAATGCTGACGATTTACACTATGAGATACCATAGTCAACACCCTTTTTAGACAGCCTTTATAAAAGGGGTATTAGGATACCAATGGGATGATGGTTAACCAGAGTAGTCCAAAATAGTATTGTAGCTTCATCTCCCATATGATGACTAATTTTGAGTAATAAGGGTTTGGTGTTTGATAACAGGGTTCCAAGGGCCATTGGCAGTGTTTAACATTGACCACTGCACATGGGGCGTTCGGCATATTTACCCTTATTAAGTTTCCTCCATAGAGCACCCTTTTCATTATTGTATCGCCAAATCTGTTTTGTAAGAAGGGCTCTAATTTTATCCCTCAAAGAATGAAGATCGAGACCACCTTTATCGAAGGAGAGAAGAATTTTGTTCCCTATTGCAAAATGAATGCATGTTCCGGATGTCCTCCTTCCATAGAAAATTCTAAAATAATCTCTCCTCATCTTGACCAATCTTGCTTGGCATTTTGAAAAGTGAAAGATAATATATAGGGAGATTTGTAAGTGTGGCTTGGAGAAGAGCGAGTCTACCTCCCTTGAAAATATAGGAAAACCCCCAGGATGAAGCAAAATGCTTCATTTTACCAAATTCTTCGGATCTTGACTCCAAATTGAAGGTTTTGGCTATAAACAAGGAATTTTCAGTCTCCATCTCCTTCCAAACCCAACCAGCTAAAGAACTATCTTCAGCAGGTCAGGAGTCATTCATTCGACGAAAGACATATCACCTTCTCAATCTCCTTTATCTTGTGATGATGACTTTGATGCTAAATTTGAAACTAGCTTGAGCACAGGTTGGAATCAGTCTTAAAACCTACGAAAAATAAAATTGATGATATTGATTTTGAAGAGTCGTATGTTGAAGATCTAGTTTCTTTACTTAAAAAATGTGACAGATTTCTCATCCTCCTCCCTCCGTACACAATTGCTCATCTTATGGAAGCTTATGACTTGGAGATGCATGAAATTCCTCCCATGAAAAAATTTCTCCCGACTTCACTTATACCCATAGTCTTTCATTACCTTTGTGAATCTTCCAAACCACGCCTTTGGTAATTGTTTTAATCTATACGAGGCCTTTCTTGATGCAATCTATACCTCTTGAGCTTTCAAATCCTACAGGAATAATCATGTAGATTTCTGTGAAAAATGCATTCTTCACATCATATGTGAGTTGCATATTTAAGTTGGCAATCAAGAATAACAATAAGGTCATAGTATTCATCTTCGCAATTGGAGCAAATGTCTCATGGTAATCTATACCATAAGTTCGAGTATATCACTTAGCTACTAACCTTACCTGATACCTCTTCAACATTCCATCAGTCTTATCCTCTACTGTGATAACTATATTTTTCCTTTTGCCCTATCCACCACTTTTCACGTGTTATTCTTTTCAAAAGCATGCATTTCTTCTCTCCTAGCATCTTGCCATTCTCTTGGATAAAACTTCAAAAATCGTGTTAGGTATAACAATGGAATATAGACTCATTATGAAACTCTTATGTGATAGAGTTAATCTTTCCAGATAGATATAGTTCAACGGGAGTATAAGGGTCATTTCGTGCATTCTCTAGTGGGTTTTTTGACACGCACGCAAGTAGGAGAAGATACGGTACAGTCAATGGTTAGTTTCTCAACCTTCTCTATGTCAAATTGAAGCTAGTCGTTTTTACCATTTTTATTCTTTTGACTTAATTTAGGGCATACTAAGGAATTTTGGAGAAATTTGGAATATGCTCGAAGACTTGAAACAAGCTCGAAAAGTCTACAATCAAGTAAGTAACCATATGGAGCAAGTTTCTAAGAAATACTTGTAGGAGTCGATTAGGAATGAAAGCAATGATTGAGTATTATGTTTAGGAGCCTAGTTTGAACTAGCCTCATGATAATTGTGCTAAGATAATGTGAACGTTTACCACTTAGTTCTATTTACAGTTATAGCTTCTGCACACATGATGGTGAACTCTGAACTCTGATAAATCGTTAGACTTTTATTTACAGTTATAGCTTCTGCACGCATGATGTTGTATGCCTTTATATGCTTATTATGCATGATTTAGGGTTTGGATAGCCCATTATTGCCTAGTCATGGGTTGGATTATCACTATGTACCATAGAGTGCTAGTTATGGTTTTCAAAGACTATGAGTTATTGTTTCGTGTATTTTGGTCCTAGCACCTAGTCATGAGTTCCATAACCTCCTTGAATTGACCAAGTACCTTGTAGGGACGGATAGTGCGCAACTCTTATTCGTGAACTAACCAATAGAGGTTAGGGTCTACTTGTTACATATGGCTGAGTTGTCACCCATAGAGGATTTCAGGAGTCTTAGAGGGTATCCTACTAAAGTACTTATCAGTGGTGCCTAGTCAGGAGAGTCATGGCCTTTTTACTGTTCCAGGCTAAGTGGCGTAGTGACAGATAGTTTGACTGTTCTAGCCTGAAAAGGCAAGGTAACAAGTAGTTACTATTCCTAAGACAGGTAGCTTATTGTGCTAACCCGATGAGGGTACATGACCAAATAATTTTCTGTCCCATCCTAGAAAGAGCATAGTGACAGGTAGTTTTACTGTTCTAACCCGATAAAGGTACATAAGCAGGTAGTTTACTATCCCAGCCTAGAAAGGGCTTCTAACCCGATAAAGGTACATAAGCAGGTAGTTTACTATCCCAGCCTAGAAAGGGCATAGTTACAGGTAGTTTACTGATTTTAGAAACATGTAGATGTTGGATGTTGCCTGGCACCACTAGGGAAAAGCCACTGATTAAAGCTCAGGAGGTAGATATGTATGGAGTACGGTCACCGTTTCATGCAAAAAAGGCTCCTCCAAACTTACGAGTAGTACCCTAGAGCCCTTCCATGGGCCACAACGACTCGAGATGCACTTTGCGAAAGACTGACGAAGGACCTAGATATACGTGAAACCTACAGCCAAGAAAAAACAAAAAACCCCTAGGTTGTGAACTTAAGAGGGATCGAGTACTCCTCAAAGGAGGTATGTTGAGGGTTAGTTATACAGTGACCTACAAAGTTTGGTACAGGCGTCAAGCCACGGTTTGGCTATCGATAGGGATAGTTATGAGCACATATCCTAAATTTCTGTGCATAGGATTAAGTCCGACAAGAGTCTACAAGTCGATTGCTTACGGAGTAGTTATACTCATTCCATGTTATTCTTTTTTTTTTTTTTTTTTAAATGGAGTGTAGACCACTGTTGACGGCGGGAGCGTGCGGAGCCATGCAGCACATATCCTTCTAGTCATTTTATTATTATTTTAAATGTTATTGCTCGAAACTTATGCATTTTTTGTAAATCGTTACGATTTGACTCCTTGGATATTACCTTTAAACTACTTTTATGTCGGTTTTGTTTGCATATTTAAATTTTAAATTCCTTGTCTCCCATTTTACGAAAGAAAATTTTTTCACCCTTTTTACTCTTGAGTGTATGTGGCGACCTATGATTCGAGGTATCGAAAATCGGATCGTTACACACATGATTCAATTAGTACCTCTACAGTAGTAAGAGTGTCATAAGTAGAATCAGTAGTGGGCGTGAACTAAATAATTGGTTGTGTGTGTCTAAAGGTTTAATAATTTCCCAAACTCTCTTCAATCTCTTCTCTCACGAAGAGAGGTCTTAGAAAAGAACACTTTATGCTTGGTGAATGTCACATCAATTGAAGTGTAAGACATCCTAGCTGTAGGATTATAATATTTGTGGTTGTTGTCAAAGAATATCCTAAGAAGACACATTTTATTGCTCTCAAATCAAGTTTACCTCTTTAAGTACTATGCACATGAATAAAGGCGGTGCACCCAAATATGTAGGGGGAGAGGCCATTTGATGTTTGAAAGTGAGGATAAAATTGATGGAGGATTTCTATTGGGCTTAGATTATTCAGGACACAAGATAGGAGACGATTAAGCATATGAGAGTTGCAACAAAAACTCTCTCTCTCCAGCAAGTTTTTGACGTGTTTCCGTCAAAAAGCAATGCTCGAGCAGTGTTTAAAAGGTGTCCATTTTTCCTTTCGGCCATTCTATTTTTCTGTGGTGTAATACTACACAAAGAATCATGGATAATGTCTTGATATCAGAAATATTGGGATAAGTTTTAATTGAAGCAATCTAGCATTGTCCACTCTGGCATGTTTCTGTGAACAATCAATGCTCGAGCGATGTTTAAAAAGTGTCAAATTTTCCTTTCGGCCATTCTATTTTGTTGTGGTGTAATAATACACAAAGAAACATGAATAGTGTCTTGATATCGAAAATATGGGTATAAGGTTTAATTGAAGTAATCTCTAGAATTGTCAGTTCAAAATATTTTGATTTTGACTCAAAATTGGGTCTAAATCATTAAATGGAAGGCAAGAATAACATTACTAAAATCTAATTTTTGTTTAAGAATGAATAACAACTTGACTCGCGTACAATCATCAATTAATATGAGAAAACAACGAGCACAAAATATATTTGGACAGTTGAGGGTCTCCGTATAACACTATGTATCAAATGGAAAAGGGTAGAGCTTTTATTTTGACTCAAGAAAAGATACACGAGTATGTAACTCACAAAGCATTAAATGAGGGATGACCCATGCAAATCGCATCTTTATTGGATGAACTAAGAAATTGCACCCACTAAGAAATGACACAGGTGCAAGGTTGGTTGTTGTTTTAGGTAATTGCTAGTATAGATTATTTAATTCCTTAGCAAATCCATTCTTTTGACTTGAAACTTGACCCTCAAAAGTACAACATGACAATGAAAAAATAACACTACAGTGCCCGTCATTGGTAAGCTTTTGTATGGAATGAGACTATTAATAGTTTTGGGATGTGTAGGGCATTTTTAGTGTAAAGATTTGAGAAATGATACCTCACCTACTCCTACAATGGTGGTACAATGGTGGTACTGGATCCCTTTGCCATTATAATTTTTTTAATACTTGGACATGGTTTATATGTTGTGAAATATAGTGGGTTGGTCATGTGATTAGTTGCACTAAAGTATATAATCTAAAGAGTTAACCTAACCTATTTATGAAGGATTTATCCAATGTGAATCCACTTCCCACTACAGCCCAATGTGAATCCCTTTTCCATTACAGCCAAGTCCCCCAAGAATCCTATCACCATTCATTTGTAATAAATCTTTATTCAGCCATAAAAGAGTTGAGAACCAAAGTTACCTTGAAGGGGTGTTCAATGGGTTCCTTAATTTCCTTCCAATCATCATGTGCATTTTATTTGGAGGCACCATGAGAGAACTCCAATCCGAAACAATCACTTCTTCATCTTTTCAACATGAGAACTTGGAACACTTGAACAGGAAACACCTTAGGAGAAAACTAGACTTTGGACGAAACATTCAACAAAAAAATCTTAAATTAGGAGATAAAAACCATCCTAAAAGGTAGGACCACCCCTCTTAAAACAGCCAACAGGCATACAAATGACCTTCTTCCACTTGTGATTGGTCACACGATGCATTCAATTACGGAGAAAGAACGCTGCTGTATTACAGTGGTACCAAAATCATCACTCGCTTAAAGAACTCTAAGCAACAAACCCACCATTAACTCAAACAAAGAATGTTCAAACCAAACAAGGTGAGAGAAAGATAGAAGAATGGCTGGCTTAAGATCCAAATCTACAACGAAGAAATGCTCATCTTCAAACCGAATATGGAAGTACTTGTTGTCAATACAACAACTACTATGCTTCATCACAAAATGCCTTTGATCAACAACACACAACCAGGAAAGCAAAGAACCTCATGAAACCAAACCTAAGCAGCAAACCAAACCACACTAACTTGAAAGTAAGAAGAGCCCAACCAAAGCAACAAACCAATAATATAAATTGAAGCAAAAAAGAATCTAACAAAGGAGGAGGATGGCAAAGAAGAACAAAGAGCAAGAAATGGAGTAACCAGGTAGGAGAAAAGAAAAGCCAAACAACATCGAGAACAAAATGATTGTGCACGGCAACAAGGACGACGACAACAACTGATGGCAATGGTGACTGCTAAGACAATGATAACGCTGGCAGATGGTTATGGGAAGATAGAGGAGAAGATAAAACCCAAAGACGTTGACAACCCCGCAAAAGGGAGACCAGAAAAACGAAAAAAAAAAAAAAAAAAACCACAACAATAGCAACTGAGGATAAGAATGGTGATTACGACTAACTGCAACAACGATGGCAATGACAGTTCTCAACAACTATAACAGTTGCACCATCCACAAACTTACCTTTTCATTACGAGAATGTACGCATTTTTTATGCAATGAGGCATTACTTTAGTGGTTTAATTCGAGTTTCATCTTAAGACCCTCCGTAGGACCTAGGATTCCAAACCCCTTGAGACAAAAAGTAATTGATAGGATGCATATGATGAACCCAATAGCATAAAGTAGGCATCCCATAAACTCATAGCAATGGACAAATGAATGTTCTAGACTTTCCCTAGCAGTACCAAACATAAAACATCTTTATTTTCAAGTACAGAATGAAATACTTTCTAAAAATGGAATGGTAAAGCAAAATTTGTTCACATGAAGGCTGACCCAAGTTAATGCTACCTGAATATATTTAGAAGAAGGATCCTTGACATTAAGAGTGAAGTCCTGGTTCCATGTTGGCTGTTTTGTCCTGTCATAACATGTTAGCATGGTAATCAGAGGAAAGTTATAAATCCATCAAAAGCTAAAATAACAAAGATATATATATCTATATATATATATATATATCTAAAAAGGTCCCTCAATTTTGAAAAAGATCATTTAGAAAGTAAAAAGTAGCAACTAAAATAAGAAAATAAGGAACACACTCACCCTTGGCACCATGAACAAGAAACCTTTAGTTTGATTAACAGAATAAAGATGACTACAGAAGAGGCATGACATCCAGCCAATCACACCATATGGGATATTCGACGACCAATTGACGATTCAAAATCTACTGTTTTATGTCTGTTGGATTAACACCAAGTCAGGGCACTGGTTTTTTTCTTTTTTTCTTTTTTTGAAATTTGGTGAAGGAAATGAAAAGAGACTTAATTCTCAACGATACGAACTCAAAAATTCCGGAAAAAAAAACTCTTTTAGATCTATCTTCAAAACCTCTAGTGTTCCATGAAATTATCTTCATTACTCTTATCTCAACAAAAATCTGTTAAGCTCCACTGAAGGCCACATACCTTTATAAGAGAAGAAATTTTGGCAGGAATTGAAGGGGAATTTATTGCCGATACAACTACTTGAGGTTTTCCAACAACTGATTTCAAAGGATGCTCATTTTGAATAATCTTCCATAGAAAAAAATTCCTTCTCTGTTTCCAACCGGTGTGTCAATGCAATGATTAAAACATATTTCACACTACTCAAGCTAACGAACCGACTCCCTTTCAGAGTCAATAAGGGGACAAATCAAGTAAGGGTCGTTATTTACATTAGAAGTAAGGACACCATTTGTCAATACAACATCTGAACCCAGTGAGGAATAATTACAGACTGAAAGAAGTGACTTGGTGGGTGTACGCTGCTAAAGAGAATTTGATGGCAATGATGAAGGGAGTTAGAAGAGGTGTGAGCAATATTCTTCTGAAGTGTCTGAATTGAACCCAAATTTCTCAATTATAGAGGGAGGAGGTTAATGGGACCTTTATTCCGAGAATAATGGAGAGGGTAGGCTTCAATGAATTTCTGGGACCTTTTCTTTAATGCTAGTGGAAAAAGTTGGAAGCTGAAATAACAGCGTTGTAGTCTGCAACTCATCTTGAACAACTAAAGGAAATTTAACAATCTGCTCAATTATTTAAAGTCGAGAACAAGGTTCCTCTAAAATATCTCCATTGAAAGTTGAATTCTCATGGAGAGTGTAAATAAATGAAGTTGAATCCTTCTTCTGAGTAATAATATGGATAGGCTTTACTAAATCGCTCAGCACTGAACATGTTCAGGACTTAACGCCTCAACAGGCAAATGAATAATCAAAGTCTTCAACTAAAACAAGTTAAAACTGCATCATTCAAGGAAGAAAAAACTATTATTTTGCTCCGCATTAATCAATCCTTCAACAAAAATTGTAACATTTAAAGCTGATTCGACCATTATGCAATTTCCAACATCCTCAGTACTCAATGCTAATGGTTTACGAGAGAGAGAGAGAGAATAAATCTTGGCGAAGGTTCTGGATCCATAACAACGGGAAAAGTCCCATTAACAATTAAATTACTTTTGGGACTTGAGTGAGAAACGGTTAATCCATTCAAGACCACAATGCTGGCAGCATCAAATCCATTTAGGATAACAAGGGAGACCAGTAGTTCGACCAGACCTTACATGCTAAGGACTCCGTGAGAATTCTAATCATGTATATAATGGGCATTTCAATGTTCATTAACTTCTACATTAATGCCACATTATTACTCTGCTCGTTCGTTGAAATAACCCCGTTATCAACCATTACCTGATGTAAACGTGATAAATCCAAATGATTTGAAAATTCTTTTAAAAAAGGCTCTCGATGGAGGACATATGAGACCAATAGAGTCAATATCACCAACTTGTCCATGTTTCTATTGTACATGATTTCAATAGAAAAAGGAAAGAAGCCGCACAATTTCTTTTTATCTTCTATATGAACCTCAGTCTGTATTTAGCAAGTTTAAAGTATTAAAGGAAATACTGACCAATCCACCCAAGTACTCACCAGTGGCTTTGAAAGTGTTGCGTTCCCAATAGGTTAAAGGTGGGTTTTTTATGGAGATCCACCCACCATACCCTTCAATAACTTCTGGATGAGAGTGTTTGTCAAAACTCCACTGTTTAATTTTAAAGGAAATCTCCATATATCATCATTTCCCAAAAGAATCTGACGTTTGGAGATATATTCCTTCCTCAATTCTCATTAATGTCTTGTCTGCCATGAAAGGGTTAATCAAAACAGATACCCTAAAAAGTGCTTGCAAAGTTCCTTAATCTCCCTCCAACTATTAGGAGTAAACAGTCTAGATACCAAGAGCTCACTAACATTCTGGTGAAACACCTTATGATCTTTTCTTATCCAAAGAGGATGTGAAATAGATTGCACAACAGCATTCCTTAAAAGTCCATTTGCAGTTTCAACAACGGACCTCTCAAACTTTTGCTTTCCCTTCAAATTCTTTTTTACTAACTCTAGATAACTACTAATAGAGGGTTTGTTCATCCTCCCTGTCTTCATATTTCTACTGGAGAAGGATTTTCTCTCAACTGTCTACTAATCAAAAGCAAGGGAAGTTCGGTGATTTTCTCATAATTCTTCAAAAAAATCCTTGAAACTTTTCCCAAAAAACAACCCATCCTTTTTCTCAAAGCCCACAGGAACCTGAATCATCTTTCTTCCACCAAAAATTGGGTATACTATGCATTCCACAAACCAACAAACCATCCTGAAAAATATCTACATTTGGACAACCAATTATTTCTCTATCATCACAGCCTTCTAGCAAGAAAGTTGTTAAAATTGGGAGTTGTAGAAGATCTATTAACGAGCATTTAAACCAAAGCAAACAACGCAGATGATCCAGAGCAATGGGAACATTAATAAACCTGTTCTTAGAGTCAGATAAAAATAAATAAATAAATTTCGTCTTCGCACCAAATACAGAAGAACGAAGTAATAGCCCAGCAACTACTCACTTACATAGCGAAAAAAGATGTAAGCTGGTCAATAAGAACTAAAACAAGCAGAAAATCTTATTTGGAAGAACAAATCTTATGAGAATACTTAATCCACAAGAAAAGAGATGCTGCAAGATGAAGGCTGATTTTTTAAATGAGAAGGGAGACAAAGGAAAGAGGAGAAAGCACTTTGGAGAGCTCTTCAGGTTATTCGATAGTATTCTCTTCCAAAAACTTGATAGTATCACATCAAAACCATAATGATCATAAACCTAGTTGTTGAAACCCTAGCTGCCATCGTCATTCCCCACCGACACAATTTCTTTTGATGACACCTCCATCGACAGCAACAAAATCTCTTTTTTGCATTCTTTCTATCTAGAATCTCTGGTGTTGTTGCCTACATTCATATGCCACTCGAAGTTCTCATTGCCACTTCAAGTTCTAATATCTTCGTGTTCGTGAATTTTCCTATGCTAGACCATCTTTGTCATCATTTTTCATGCATTTGTGTAGATCCTACTATGCATTGCCAATTATGCCCTAGTCTTCATTTGACAACATAACGAGTTCAAGTTGTTTGTTCTCCAACCACCTCATAAGTCAAGTTTTCAACTACCATGAGATACCTGGTCACTATCTCTATCATATTGTTGTTGTCATCGATCTCCAGCCTAGCTTGAATTTTTTACTCAATTAGATTTAGTTCAACCTTCATTCCTATTGTAGAGAGAAGAATTTGTTCACCTCGAGTTCTCAATAGAGATCTGCCATCAAGAAAATGCCGGTCATCCCTTTGCTTTTGGTGGTTTATTTGTACTTTCTCATATAAGTTACAACCTCTACTGCTCCTCTCTGATAATTAAAGAAGGTAGAGAGGTAGAGACAACTCCATATTGATAGAAACAATGCAAATGATACTGCGTCAGACAGTGACGAGACTAAGGTTGTTGACACAAGGAACTACATTTATTGCCTAACATCTAGTAAAATAATTGAAGCCTTGAATTGATGTTAGAGCATCATATCACATGACCGAATATGCAAAGTTTTGTTCCCAGTTCAAAAACGGTAATCATGTTGCTATAAATATAACCAAAAATCTAGCTCATCTTGATTGTATGAAATATATTAAATTGATTGACATTTCACTAAAGAGAAAAAGTTTGCACCTCTCATTTGCACACCTACATAGCTTCATATTGTAAAAACCTTTACCAAAGCTCTTCCAAGACCCAAGTTCGTAGACTTGAAGACCAAGTGAAATTCATTAATTGTTATTTGTTCATTAAGGCAAAAATATTTGATATTTTTAATGATGTGTAAAACCACTTTTACAAGATGAAGGATTTCAGTCTGAATACATTGCTCACCCCCATTTTGTCTTGCTTTTAACAACCTGACCATCCAATTGAAACACCACATATGGATCGCTGGTTCCCTGAGGAACAAATATTATCAAATAGGAGTTGCAAAAAACATATAGCATTAGAAGTCTATAAAGAAGACCAAGTACTAATTGGTCCAGATTTAGCAGTTGTCATTTACTGTGCCTTTGTTTAGTAGGGATAGGTGTCTTGAGGTATCCTTAAGATCAGTCTCTGGTTATAAGTTTGGGTTTAATTTAAATTTTAGTTTTTTATTTTTAGTATCATTGATAAGATTCTGTATTTTCCATTTTATCAATGAAAAGTTTGGCTTATCAGTAAAATAAAATAAGATAAGATAAGATTAAAAAAAATAAAAATAAAAAGTGGTGATTGTATAAAGTTCAGAGCTTTTTTAAAAAATAGTACTCCTCACCAGTAGGGAGATAAGTAAGGATACTGCCTTATTTCGTGTTAAGAGGCCAAAAGAAACGATGTAAACTTTAGAAGAGAAAATTTAATACATAAAATAAAGAGTACCCTCAAATTCATATTAACTAAAATAATTATAATAATAATAAACGGGGGCTAGCAAGTCTGAAGTTCAACGGCTTTCATTGTTGATAAGAGCCACAAATTTTTGGACAGTAAAAGACAAACTGAACACTAAACTAGACCTCAGCACAAATGTCTTTGGAGCTTCTCTTCTCAAGAAAATATTTCTATTCCTTTCCTTCCAAACTTCCCAGAGAACAACCAAGATGGTATCAATCAAAAACGATTTCAGCTTTGCCTCGGGTTTAAAACCAATAGCAAAAGGGAGGAAAGCTAAAAGTACTAACACAATTCCCCAAATGGTTGAAATGGAAGAAGAAATGATCATTGTTTTCTCAAGCTCTTTTACATAAAGCAGTCTCAGTCATTGTGGGTAAAGGTAAAAGGGTGTAAGAGCTTGCATTTTTTTCAACAGCATCATGTTTTCCAAAGACGAGAGACCAATACAAAATTGAATTTTTTATAAGACCTTGATTTTTTAAGTTTCCTACGGGGGGAAAAAATGATAATAATAAGGGGAAAAGGAGCTACCCATAGATCCATTGCAGGAAAATCAATGCCCTTCTTCAATTTTATGAATAGTTGACCATCATATATCTCTCTAACAAATGACCTGCATTTTTATTCATGAATAGAACTTGTCACGTCCAAAGATGAAGTGCAAGAAAGTTATTTACACTTAATAGCAAAAAGAATTATGAACCGCTGTTGCAGTATGTATATGCAATTAAAAAAAGGATCTAAGACTTCATTCTGCACCAGTGTAGTCAATTTAAAGTTTATTACAGCGATTACATACTCCGAAAGAAATACAGTCTTACAACCTGCAGCGTCAACTTCACGCTTCCCAAAATTTTCCTGTACCAAACAGGAGAAATATATAAATAAAGATCACAGAAATTTTCAAACTAACAATTCATCCAACACTTAAAACACTAAAATTCATGTTCTTAACCCTCTCCTAGTCTGCAAAAAACGAAACCAACAAAAAAAATGAAGCATGCAGAATAATCCAATTACAGAGGGGCTGGTGTATGCTTCAAACGCGAAACCGGCAAGAATAACGGCGAGATTGATATCGAAGGGCGGTCGTTCACTTTCTTCCAGGCGCGATAAATTTTGAACTTCTGTCCCCGCACTGCTGAAGCAACGAAAAGAGGATACGCCGCGTCGACCCCTAGGATTTACCCGGAAAGCTAAAACCCTAGCTTTCCCAGAAAACTTAGCTCTTGGGCGGGAGAGCTGGATGCATCGAGTCCAATGGAGGTTGGGAATGAGAGTGGAGAGAGAAGAATTGTAGTGAAGATGGCTGGGAATAGGAGACGCCATAGTTGGAGCTGCCAGAGCGATAGCTTCTGAATTCTGTGGAGTGATTAGAAGGAAGTTAGCGTATGCCAACGCAACACCGAGTGAAGTCTAGAAGGTAACGGTCATTCTAGAGCGCGCCTATTTTCACACATTTTTTTTATTAAAAATGTTGGGTGTTTTTCGTATTTTTAAATCGGTTAAATTTCACTTTTATTCCCACTCTTTTTTAAATTTCGTGGGTAGAATGCCCATAAGTTTAAACTTTAAAATAATAAATCTTTTACGCATAGTTGGATAGTCCGAATTGACCATTCAAATTATAAGAATTTGATCTTATTAAATAACGTTTTGAATTAGGTTGGATTTATTTTCTAAAACTGAATAAGTTTGATTTAGATTTTAATTTTCTTAGACGAATATTATTAAATATATTGAGATAACTTATGTATTCAACCTATTTTCTAGTATGTACTTAAGCTTCTGAATTTGCATTTGGTACATTGGTGGAATTTTTAGATTGTTGGGATAAAAAATTAGTGGTGATTTTCTAGATTTTGTTAGAAAATTCAGACAATTCAGACAGGTAATTCTAAATTTTAACTCATTTATTATTTCTTTGTTGTAATCTAATGTATAACCGTTCATATTTTTCTTTTTTAGATAATTTAGGACATCCAATTCAACTAATGTCAAGTATAAACAAGTTTTTTTTTCCTATGGTAGGTGGAATATTTTTATAGTAATTTTCGTTAGGCATAATTTCTTTAAATTAATTATTTTTATTATTTTTTTATTTTAGGATCATCCTATTATTTTCTTACTTTATTATTAACCAATGACTTAGAAGAGTGTTGTTATTTATTTGTATTTAGTTACGTGAGAATGTTAAACTATGCTAGAATGTTACCATTCTCACTTATGGTTGTTGAAAATTTTGTTTGTTTGAATGATTTTAGATTAACTTGTGTTTGTTTGAATGATCATTCAATAAATCATCTTTTTGCCCCGTTTTTCGCCGCGTACCGTTTGCGGTTTTTTTGCTCGACTGCCAAGGCAATTCCCAAAAACCACTTTCTATTCTTAATACTTTAATATTTTCAAAAATATTAGGTGGACTTTAATTTCGAAGAAATGTAGCCTATAGCACCACATATACGAATCTGAATCCAAAACCAAAACACTAGTTTGTTGTAAACTCTAATTAGGTTGTCTAAAACACTCATGAAAAAACTTAGTTACGATCGATATTTTTTGACATTATCATGAAGAATGTTTAAATATTATGATTTTGACACGTATGATCCGTAATGAAAAAAAAAATGTTTCGACGTTGACAATCTTTTTTGTCCATTTTTTAAGGGTACCATTAGCAACTTTTTGCTTGCGTGTCAAGACATTTTTCAAAAGCCACTTTAAATTTTATGATTTTCATGCGTATGATCTGTAACCAGCACCAAAAAATAGCTCCGATGTCGACATTTGTTCTTGCCCGTTTTCCACTGGGTGCTGTTTGCGGTTTTTTGCTAGCGTGTCAAGGTAGTTCCCAAAAGCCACTTTCTATTCTCAATACCTTAATATGTCAATTAGAAATAGTACGTGGACTTCAATTTTGAAGAAAATGAGCCTATAGCACCGCATAGAAGAACCCGAAATAGAAACCCTAGTTTAAAAATTCTAATTGGGTCGTTTAAAGCATTTGACGAAAAAAACTATGTTAGGGACGACATTATCATTAGGAATGTTCAAATTTGATGATCTTAATGAGTATGATACGTAACCAATACCAAAAAATAACTCTAACGTCACAATCATTTGTTGACGATTATTGGGAGTGAGTCCCACATTAGTTAATTTAGTGGAAGATCATGAGTTTCTATCTCCATTGGTATGAGGCCTTTTGGGAAGCTCAAAACAAAGTTATGAGAGTTTATGCTCAAAGAGAACAATAGCATACCATTGTATAGAATCGTGATTCCTAACATCATTTCGGCCTATTTTTTGCTGAGTAATGCTCGCGACTTTTTACTCGCGTGTCAGAGCATTTCCGAAAAAGGTAGTTTGTAATACCCAAAGGACAATAAAGCTTCTAAAAAGGGGCCAAGTATAACTATACGAAGTTGTACAAGATTTTTGAATGAAAATAATGAAGTAAAGTTGGAAAAATAGAACTTTTTTCCAATTATTACAAAAATTTTCAAATTTTTAGTTTCTTATAGAGGAAGAATCTCGAGGTGAAAATGACAAAAAATGAGATAAAGAATGAGGAAAAATTTTGGATTTTTCAGGAAAAATAATATTAAAATGGCAAAATTACCAAAATGCCCTTGAAGATCTAGAAAAATACCAAATGGCCCATGCTGATCAAATCTCATCCTCCACCATATGCCTCTGCAAATAATCCATAATATCTTGAAATCCAGCCCAGCCGTTGGATCATCCAAAATCAGGTACAATCTAAAACATGCACACCTCATCCCTTTTAACAGTTGAAATTTGAAACAAAGGTGGACAAGGCTTTGATAGGAGCAAGATTTTTCGGTGGAAAATCTAGAAAGATCAAAAGTAAAATCACGACGATTCTAGATGATTCAAAGGTGGTGGATCCTCCCTCTATAAAGTATGAACGGTGGGCAACCATTTGGAGCAAGAAGCAAGGCATATCGAGCCTTCAATCGAGAGTTAGCTTTTTGTTTATGAGTATGGAGTTCTCGAGTTTAGCTGAAATTTGAGAGATGCAATCCACCATTTTCCTCTAAACTTGAACCTACACTTTCTAAACAAAATTACCCACAAGTTTGGTGAAGAAAGGTAACGCTGAAGACGCCATCAAAACAGTTTCCCCAAATTTACCCGCCATTGAAGGAGCTTGAAGGGAAACTAGAAATTCGATTTGAGGCTATAGGCAAATTCACCGAGTAAGACCCATTTTAGTCAGCTTTTGCACATCCAAGGGACGTTTTTATAGAAGACCACGAAGGGTATTAACTCCAAAAACGTGCTTAATCAGAGAAAACTAGTATCGAGTAAGATTTTGGAGAAAAACTAGAATCTTCATTTTACCGTTCATAATGCTCAAAATTAAAGATTCTATTAGCCTTAGAAGACTAAAGTAAGCTTATCTTGTAGAGGGGTTGAGGACTAATTCGCCCGTTATTAAGCTGCCTAGAAGAATTCAACTTTACGTTCTTGGTTGAGTTGTAGATGATATGGAAATCTGCACCACATCCAGTTATTCTTCTAGTTTGAGAGAAGTATAAGGAGGAATTGTTGTGAAGAAACTATGGCCTAAGAGTGCCTCAATAGCCCTCCCCAATAATTCCTCTCGGTTTGCTCGGGCAAGATATAGAGTTTTCAACCAACTTTGGAAGCTAATAACTTAAATTATAACCCACTAAAAGGTAAGATATCAATTCCTAATTCTTTCTTGACATTTCATCTTTAAGTTTCATGAAGGAATTGAGGAGAGAAACGTCCTAAAATGAGCTGGAAAAGATTGTTTAGAGGCGATGCAACTAGACGACCACATCTTCTTCCCTGCGAGAGTAAGAAGATGATGACGTGGTTGGTTGAATCGAACCTCCCATGTTAGCCCAAAAAACTTGTCTCTCCTTGATTTTTTTTAATTTTTTTTATCAAATTTTACTCCTATTTAACAGATTTTCATAAAATTCTCCATGGTTTCAGAAACTAGACTCTCCAAGGAAGTCGTCTAAGAATTGGAGAAAATCGAGTACTGGAAGCTCGAGAAATGAGAACCCAAACATAGGAGACAAAGAGGTAAGTAGTCATTTTAGACTTTTATAAAAAAAAATACTTATAGAATCACTTGGATTTCAATATAAACCTTAGGTTAAGTATGAATTAATGATACATGAAAGAAAAATATTAGGAATCGTGAGTTAAGGACCCAAACCTAACGTTTTGCTTAGGAATTGAATAATGTTAAAAGACCTCCTAAATGAACTCCGCTGTTTACGAAACTTTAGAACTGGGTATAATATGACATGTTAAAGTCACGTGTGAAATTTGGTGGCCACTAGACATGACTAAGTTGGTGAAGCAAGAGACAAATTATAAGTGTTGGGTTGGGTTGAATTGGATGTTGGGTTGGGTTCGGGTTCTAAAATAAATTGATTGGATCAGCCCTCTCAACCGGAAAAGATAAAAATAAAAAAAAATAGTCCAACGGCTCCAACCAAATGATTGAACGAGCCGAAGCCCAAAACGGAAGCCCACGTCACTATCTGTCACTGTGTCTTGTGACAGATAGCGACGTGGGCTTCGGTCTTGCGACGTCATACCGTCTTTCTCAGTCTTGTCTCTGTCACTGTGTCTTGTCTCTCGGATTCAACTTTGAGTGGGTAACTGAAATGGTAACATTTCTGCATCTCTGCACTATGTGGCTTGGTTTGGCTGTATCTGCATTTCTTGGGTTGGCTTGGCTGTATCTGCATATTTGGATGTACATATTTACATGTCTGCATCTCCATTATTTATGGCTAAGCTAGGCGACATCTATCTTCCATTCACAATGTCTTGATATAAGAGAAAGAAGGCATGTGGGGCCATTTTCATTTTTGTTATCAATATGCAATCTATGTGGTCGTCCTTCCCCTTTATTTTAATCCACAAATCTGTAGATAACGGGTCAACAATCCTTGTAGAATAGACATATTGACGGAACCATGTGTACACTTTCATCTATCTTTCTGGAATAGGCTCAAGCAACCCAAATGGCCTCGACCTTGAGCGAATCCTCCAGAATACCCACAAATGCTTCAAGGATTGTGTTGATAACCGGCGTGAGCAAAGGTTTAGGGAGAGCCCTAGCCTTGGAGTTAGCTAACCGTGGTCACACCATAATTGGCTGTTCACGTGACCAACCTAAACTTGATTCCCTTCGTCACCAACTTTCTTCCAATAACCACTTGCTCTTCAATGCTAATGTGGTAAGCAAATGCTCTAACCCAACGTCCTAAGTACTTAGAAAAGTGACTGAAAAGGTTTGTTTTGCAGAGATCAAACGATAGTGTTGAAGAGCTAACAAAAGCGGTTGTCCAAAACAAACTCGTTCCTGATATCATTGGTATTCCGCTCTCTTTTTTCATATAATTTCTTACTTCAACCAAAATTTGAGAAACTAAGCACTTTTTTCTGGATTATTGACAGTGAATAATGCCGCTGTTATTAATAGAAATAGGAACCTATGGGAGGTGGATGTCGAAGAATTTGATAATGTTATAGATACCAATGTCAAAGGGACAGCAAACGTATTGCGCCATTTCATTCCTCTTATGATTCAAAACAAGCATGGAATAATCATTAACATGTCTTCAACTGCCGGAAGAAATGGAATTGTACATGTAAGTCATTTATATTAAACTTTTATGGAAAGATTAGTGACTCCTGAAAATAGTTATTAACTTAATAAGTTTAGAAAAATGGTTAGTGATTTATGGAAGAGATTTGTGAGTAGTGGTGAGATTGTGGAGAAATTTAAGAAAATAGCTAGTGATTTATTGATGAGAATGTTGGTAGTTTTAACGGAAGTTTAGAAAATTTGTTAATGTTTACTCCTTTATAAATACTCACTAAATGTATTCCCTATTCACAACAACAAAGAAAATTGAAAAGCATAGTGCAAGTTGTTCTTTCTATATTTATTTCTTTCGATATATTTGAGTTGTGGGTCATATCCAACATTTGGTATTGGAGCTCGGATGCTAAAACAAAGTCACCATACAAAGTCGTCGGAGGAGATATGACGATGATAAAAGCGAAAAATAGGGGAATGTAACGATCCAGTACGCGTTACTTGTGAAGAGTAACTGCGCAACATGGTCAATAAAGATGCGTGTTAACTTACAGGCACAAGACGTGTGGGACGCCATCAAACATAGTGATGATGTTGAGGACCGTAATAGGATGACTCTTGCCACCATCAACCAAGTAGTCTCGGAGGACGTCCTTCTCATGTTGGTAGAGAAGGACTCGGCAAAGGCAGTGTTGGATACATTGCAAACAATACATGTGGTGTGGAACATGTCAAGGAAGCAAAGGTGCAGACCTTGAAAAGTGAGTTCGAGCTATTCCTCAAGATTCATGAAGATTGTTGCCTCCATTGATTAGTTCAGCAACCTCAAGAATATGTCGGTTGAGGAGGTCGTTGATCATCTTAAGGTCCATGAGGAGAGATTTCCTGGATATAAAAACAAAGAGGAGGAGAAATGCCTTTTACTCACACATGATGAGTGGCTCGCATGGACGCAAAAGAAAGATGTAGCTGACTCTTCTTTTTTAGGTACGAGGGGATGTGACAGCCATAACAAGGAAAATAAAGGTCGTGGATGTGGAAGTAGAGGAGGTCATGACAATAACTCACAAATCCATGACAATGCCAACCCTGGAAGGATGAGAATATGATCAAGTGTTACTCTTGTGGAAAATATGGACATTATGTGGTAGAGTGGTGCAACATGGAGTGCGGTGAGGAGGCAAATCTCACATTCATGGATGATGAAGAGCCCAAATTAATGTTGGCCAAGAAAATGCCAAACTTGTTGATGCTCAATAAAGAGAAGGTTATGACAAACATCCTAGCACATGGAGAAGACCAAATGAAGACTATCACGTGGTGCCTAGATAACGAAGTGAGCAATCACATGACTGGAGATAGAGAAAAGTTTAAGAAACTTGAGAAATTCATTGGAAACATGAAGTTTTGTGACGAATCAAAAGGCCCATCTTGTTTTAGTGTAAAAACGACGATCAACATTTATTGACCAAGGTGTATTACATGTTGTCTTTGACGAATGTGAGGAAATCGTTGACGGAGGAAAAAAGCCGAAGAAATTGTTGGGAGAAGAAAATAATGAAAAAACAAAGAGAAGACAATATTTGCACCGAAGACCCCATGGATTTCATTTCTCATTCAGTTGAGATATTTAAATAACGAATGAAAGAAATGGGCAACTTAATTAAGGCGCTTCCACACGACGTGGACTTTCCACTCACTCTAATTGTGGGTTTAAGAGAAAAATAGTTACCTAAAAAATAGTTAACTAAAAATTAGGATCACTTTCACTCAAAGGTAAGGATTTATCTAACAATCTCGTCCTAAAACCTTATCGTATATCTACCTTATTGTTTGAACTTTGATCTGAGCCCTATGGCTCGATGTCCCGGCAGCATGTCCTTCAGACTCAACCTCTTCTTCCAGCTCGCGCACCGCCAGTCCAGGTGGTTCACCTCCTCCTGGTAGGTCTTCCATCCTCTGGTACCTGGTCACCAGACCATCATTGTGATTGGCATCCAGCGTCGAATCCGCAGTACGTGGTGTTGCGAACTCCACTAGTTTAGGGGGTACAGCAGGAGTCGTGGTTGGTATTGATATAGGCGTATCCGGTGTAGCTGCTGGCGGTGGTGACGATTCTCTATGTTGTGCTTCTCCTTCTCCCGGTTCAGTGATGAGGTACTCCACCGTGAATTGATTTGGGTTTTGGTCTGTCGAGGTAAATTCTCCGCCTCGGTCCGTATTCTCAAAATACCTATATCTACTCCTGTGGTAATTGGTGCGTGATTTCGTAATACACCAATTTGTCCATTATTCGTAACTAAAATTATTTCTTTCTTTTCTGAAGCCCAAATAATTCGATTCAGAGGCAGGACACTAAGATTTAAGGTCATTTCTTCACTTTGCTCTCCGTTTCTTTCACTCAAAGGTAGGGATTTATCTAACATTACATACCGAGTTTGAAGAGTAGATTATTAGTCTTGGTCAAATTATAGAAGAATGTAGTAGAGTTGATTTAGTCGATTGGTTCTTTAAGATATTTGACAGAAACGAAGTTTTGTTGATGAAGGTAAAACGGTCGCAGAACCGCTTGTATAAGATACTACTGATCAACATCTTCCAAAAGTATCTATTAACATTGGCAACAAGAAAGGAGTGAAGAAATGAGTGGATTAGGAGAAAAAAGAATCGAATAACAGAGCAAGGAAGATAATAGAGACTACTTCAATCGGCAAAGAGAAACCTACAATTTGGTATGTTCATCAAACTTGTCATCTCAATCAGAGAAGTGGAAGAAATTACATAATGTGGAATTAAAATTTCTTATGAAGAAGACGAAAGTTGATAAGGGACCAAGCAACATTGATTTTATAGAGCAACGTGTAGATATTCTCACCAAGGCCCTAACAAGGGTTAAGTTTTATAGACATGTTGGAGTTATTCAAATTTTACTTAGTAATAATAGTTATGAATGAGCGGAGTAAGTTTAGAAAAATGGTAAGTGATTTATTTAGGAGGATTGTTGCCGTTCTCTTCCCTGTAAATAGTCATGAGATGTATGTTCACAGCAACAAAGAGAATGGAAAAGCATAGTGTTTAAGGTTTTTTGTTCTAAGAAACTCTCCCTTCAGATTGTTCTTTATACTTCATTTATTTGTTTCAATATATTTCAACTGAGAAAGTAGTATCCAACAAAGATGACATATGTTTAATTTTACTTTATCGCCAGATTGCACCATATTGTGCATCAAAATGGGCAGTTGAGGGGTTAAGCAAATCTGTAGCAAAAGAATTGCCGGAAGGAATGGCTGTTGTGACCTTAGATCCAGGCCTCATAAACACAGACATGCTCGTTTCATTTGCTGGCAGTTCAGCTTCAAAATATCTAACGCCTGAACGATGGTATGGATATCATCAAATCATATATTCAACACTGAAATTTTTATATAAGTATATCCTTTTGTGTGTACTTATACATTCATTATTCATTGTAATAAGGGCTATAAAAGCAGCGACATTAATTCTTGATCTCACCACATCAGACAATGGAGCTTCCCTCACAGTTAAGGATCCAACCGAGTTGTCCAGCCCATAATTTCTATGCCCTTGGATGACAATTAATTTGGTAAAGCATCATTGATAGAATGTTTAGATATTAGATAAATGAGAGTGATGAATGTATAAATGTGCATAATGTAAATTTACTATGTGTAATATGAAATGCATAAATATTGACACGAGATATTAGTTAAATTGATGTGCTGTAATTTGTGAGATGTTGTAGTAGAAATTGTGTTGATAGGATGTGTAGATGTATTTAGTTGTATTTACGATGGAGGTTAATAAATTAATTGATTAAAGAGTTAATTGTAATGACCCGCTTTTCGGCTTTTGAATCACAGACACATACATACGGACTAAAATCAAATGTATTTCATTTAAATTTTTCTCTTATAAAAAATATTTTTAAAAAATTCCTATCATTATAACAGTCTTTAACTAATTTAGAAACTAATTCCCTTTAGTTACTTGATTAATGTTTTTTTACCTAATTTTCAAGGCTTTGAAAACACAGATCTTAACTAATAGACAATATCAAAGTAAACATGTGAAAATGAAAGTAGTGAAAGTAGGGTAAATTTGTGCGCCAATTAAAGTCATACAAGGTTTTTGTAAGAACTAATACAAAATGTTCTAAACAAGTTTTGTTTAAGTTATTTACCAGCGGGGAATGAAAACAAGATTAAAAATATATGCAATTTCAACTCAAGGTTAACACTCCTCTATGACTGCAGAGCTCTCAAGCACTGCCTCACCTTGACCAATAGATTAATTACTTTAGGATCGTGAGCGATGATATAGGGTTTGACCCTAGTGCTTGAAGATTAGGAAAGAATCGAGGAGTAAGATTAAAGTATTCTGGAGCCGAAAGTCTGCCTTAAACCACTTTGCCGTCTTAGGAACCCAATTCCTCCTTAGCACCCATAGAATATAAGATGACAATTAGAATATGAGTTCCTTGCTTTCTGTGATCGATATGAATATCTCCCTAAGAAGCATGTTTGAGTGAATCAAGTTAAGATTAGGCACTACAACTAAAGCAGTTTACACGTTGACCTAGGTTAGTGTGTTTCTTGTAGACCATGCATCCCAGGATCGTGAGCGGTGATCAAAAGTTTAGACCGGTGTGTACCCAGAGATTGTAGACCATGCATCCCAGGATTTCAGTTTCTGGAAGATGCAGATTGAAGATTATCTGTACCAGAAAGATCTTCACGAATCCCTGTTGGGAGTGATGCCGGATACCATGACCACGGAGCGGTGGAAGCTCAAGGATCGAAAAGCCTTAGGGATGATCTTGTTGACGCTATCCAGAAACGTGGCATTTAACATCATCAAGGAGAAGACAACGTCAGATCTGATGAAGGCGCTGTCGAATATGTACGAAAAACCGTCGGCTATGAACAAGATATATTTGATGTGGAGATTGTTCAATCTACAGATGTCTGAAGGTAGATCTGTTGTGGATCATATAAAGGAATTCAATATGATCGTAAGTCAACTTAGTTTGGTGGAAATTAATTTCGAAGATGAAATTAAAGCATTGATTTTGATGTCATCTTTACTCAAGTCGTGGGATACTGTTGTTGCCGCAATCACTAGTTCCCGAGGATCTGATAAACTGAAGTTTGATGAAATTCGAGATGTAGTTCTCAGCGAAAGTACTCGCAAACGAGAAATTGAAAATTCATCTGGTAGTGCTCTTAGTGTTGACCAACGGGGAAGAAGTAAACCGAAGGGCCCAAACAAAGGGCGATCAAAATCAAAGAACCGAGAAAAATCTCCAAATAGACCAAAGGTAACGTGTTGGAATTGTGGAGAAAAAGGTCACTTTCGGACAGGTTGTACAAGACCAAAAAGGAAGCAGAATCACAAATCTAGAGATGATGATGATTCTATGAATTCAGCAGAAGACATTGGGGATGCTCTAATCCTCAGCGTGGACAGTTTGATTGAATCCTGGATTTTGGATTCAGGTGCATCTTTTCACTCGTCTCCAAATAAAGAGTTGTTCCGAAATTTCAAGTCTGGAAATTTCGAGGAGGTGTATCTTGCCGACAACAAAGATTTGGAGATTAAAGGAAAAGAAGATGTCTGCATAAAAACTCCGGCAGGAAATCAGTGGACATTAAAGGATATCAGATATATTCCTGGTCTCAAGAAGAACCTGATCTCTATTGGTCAGTTGAACAACACAGGTTATGCAACATAGTTAGGGAAGAGTTTGTGGAAGATTATGAAGGGTGCTACGGTGGTAGCACATGGCTCAAAATCTGGAACCTTATACACCATTGCAGGGTGTATGAACATAGCTACTGTTGCTGAAAGTGCTTCAAATTCAAGTCTATGACACAATAGACTTGGACATATGAGCATGAAAGGAATGAAGACACTGGCCGCGAAAGAAGTTTTAAAAGGTTATGTTTGAGAGAAATACTTTAGAAAATTTGTGCGAAGTAATACGCTAATTTATTTGATAGTTTTTGAAGTTGTGGATGTATTAGACACAAAAGTAAGAATTCAAAAACTTACAAACTGCAATAATTATTAAATATTAGATCTATTTTGTTGATACTTTTAACCCTTTTTTTCTAAGACATAACAGAAATACTAATTTTTCATTTATCACCATATTGAACTTATAAACACATGAAAATGTTGACACATCGATGAAAATTTGAAAACCGCCGGATTCTTATTCTTGTTGACTTGACGGAACTTAACAAACTACCATTTTTTCAAAAAGTTATTTTTGTTGGTAGAGAGAGGCGTCTTGATGATTTGAAGTGAAGAAGAATGGACTATTTGGGGGACCGACCATATTCTTTGACATAATGGTTTATGGATCCTTGTAGGATGGCTATTGTGTAAGCCACTTGTAATGATAATGAGAAGTGGGGTTGAATGAGAACAGGCTAAGAAATCCATAAAAAGACCTAAGTATCTGCTCTTGAGTGGAGCACTTCAATAATGGTTTCGGTGCATGCTGTTGAAACCACTTTGTGAGGGTGTCATAAAGTTCTAAACCCCTTCCTTCGGCACCTTTTTCTCTTCATACAACGTCCAAGAATATGAGAAAAGCACCAAAATGTCCACGTTTCTTTTTGTTGGGAATAAACTTAAATGGAAAAAAGAAAATAAGGGTAGTTTTTTGTTTTGTTAAATTTAGTAAGGCTTTTTGAATTTTAGCGGAAGAAGGAAAGGAAAAGGAAAAGCAAAAGGCCAAAGAAAATATGGGGACAAGAATAAGTCCATTCGTTTTCATTGTAAGAAAAGGAGGCAGAGAGCAAGAGCAGGAGACAGAAAGCAAAGCGTATAGTGTAATAGAAAATAGTTTTTTCAGAATTTCTCTCTTTTGTCCCCTTGTCTCTCCCCTCTCAACACCTCCTTCACAGCTTCGTGAGAGTTATTTAAACAAGTTGGTTTCAAAGTGAGCGTTTATTTTTTACAAGTTGGTATCGGAGCGAATTGTTATTTCAACAAATTGGTATCAGAGCGAGTTTTATTTCAACAAATTGGTATCAGAGCCGATGGCGAACATGATGGAACAAAAGAAGCACGGGACACTTTAGAAAAGGTGTTCAAAGGAACCGACCGAGTCAAGACGGTGCGTCTCCAGACACTCTGCGTGGCGAGTTGGAGAGCATGAAGATGAAGGAGTGAGAAAATGTATTTGACTACATCACGCGCGTACAGACCGTGACAAATCAACTAAATCGAAACGGAGAAATGTTATCTGAGACGCGGGTTGTGGAGAAGATGTTGAAGTCGTTAACAGGCAACTTCGAGAATGTTGTATGAGACATAGAAGAGTCGAAGGACCTAGCGACGTTCACGGTCGATGAGCTCGCCGGAGGAGGAGACACACGATCAAGCGCTTCAACTAAGGCATCAATAAAGGATGAAAAGATACTCTTCTCTCAAAATACTCAAGGTAGAGGTCGTGGAAGTCGCGGGAATGGTCGAGGTAGTCAAGGCAACAGTTACGAAGAAAACTATAAAGAGAAGAGACTATCGAGCCAAGCAAATAGGCGTGGAAGAGGACACAATCAAGGACGCGGTCAAGAATACAATTCCCACATCCAGTGTTACAAATGTCAGAAATATGGCCACTATGCAAATAACTGTAACTTCGACAGATGTTACAATTGTGGCAGAATGGGTCATTATGCAAGAGATTGTCGAGCCGATGAAAAGGTGGAAGAAACGATCAACCTAGCCTTGGATGACGCAACAAACGGAGGCATTCTCTTGATGGCCCAAAATGAAGAGCTGAAAACCAAAGAACACGGCGGTGCAAAAGACGACGGCGATAATCGTGAGGCGATGGAAACTAATAGAAATGAGATGATGCACAGCTGATACCGGAGACGAGAAAATCGAATAAAGATGAACAACCGAATAATAGAGAACCCGAGCTCGAAGAGAGAGAGCTCCACTAGCTGGAAAAGAAATTCGAGGAAGAAAGAAGAAAAAGGATGAGAATGGAAGAAGAAAAGAGGACAGAAATGCAGATTGAACATGAGAAATAGATGGTTCAAATGCAAGCTGCAATCCCTTCAAAATCCCTTGAAAATCCCAAAACAATGACGAAGAAGAAGCCCATGCGATTCGCGAACGAGCCAATGAAACTGCCAGATCTCGAGGAGGAGAATAGAGATTAAGAGCAACAACCCAAAACTGCCGTGGATAAATCTGTGGAGAAGTCTCAATTGCAGACGTTGAAATCACTGAACGAAAGAAAAGAAAGTTTGAGAAAATGAGATAGAAAGGTTAGAGAAGGAAGTGGCTGAGCTGAGTGAGAGTTCCTTCTATCTCAAACAAGAGGAAAAGAATGGGAATGTAATCTCTGATCTTATGAAGAAAGTTGAAGAAGGTGTGGAGAAAGAGAATGACATGTTAATGGTGATTGAGGCTCTAGTGGACGAGCTAGTGAGGGAGGAGAAAGATATAGAGATGCTGACTCTACAGAGAGACTCACTCGACGTGAACCTGAATCAAATCCAACAGGAGGCAGTGAATTTACGATACACGATTGAGATACTCACTCGTGATAAAGTCGAAATGGAGGAAGAAAAAAATGCTAGCTGTAAATGTCGCTGTGGACTTGAGAAGAGAATTGAGTAAACTGAACGAAGCCATGATGTCCGAGTCAAGCGTGGCTAAGAACGGGAGAAATGAAGAGTTGGTGTCTCAGATAGGCTATTCTCGAGAAGATCCAAATGAAGTCTCATCAGAGAAGGACAAGCTTAGTCTGCTGCTCGAGGACAAGGAGAGAAAATTGAAGAAACCACAACTGAGCTCAAGAAAACAAAAACGACGCAGGTGGAATCGTTGAATAGAGCATTTAAGTTTATGGGGAAGTTTTGTTGGGAATAAACTTAAATGGAAAAAAGAAAAGAAGGGTAGTTTTTTATTTTGTTAAACTTAGTAAGGCTTTTGAAATCTGAGTCGTGAGAAGGAAAAGGCCAAACAAAAAATACAGGGACAACAATCACTTGAGGAGAGAATGGGTTATGGGATCGCTCATTTTAAATCTCAGAAACCCTATAAATTGATTCGTTTTCATTGTAAAAAGCAAGAGGCAGAGAGCAAGAGACAGAAAGCAAGTGTACTGTGTAATAGAAAAGAGTTTTTTTCATAATTTCCTTTGTCCCCTTGTCTCTCCCCTCTCGACACCTCCTTCACAGCTTCGTGAGAGTTATTTAATCAAGTTGGTTTCAGAGCGAGCGTCTATTTTTTACAAGTTTGTATCGGAGCGGATTGTTATTTCAACAAATTGGTATCAGAGCGAATTTTATTTCAACACTCTTTAGGGGCCATTATTGAACGATTCAACTGTTCGTGAACTTTCAAGTTTGTATCTAGGAGAACGTTCAAGTTCATATATTTTAAGTGTTAAGTGATGGACTGTGAAATCTCATATCGGTTGGAGAGGGAAATGAAGCATTCTTTATAAGGGTGTGGAAACCTCTCCCTAGTAGACGCGTTTTAAAACAGTGAGGCTGATGGTGAGATACGTAACGGGCCAAAGCGAATAATATCTTCTAGCAGTGGGCTTGAGCTGTTACAAATGGTATCAGAGCCAGACATTGGGCGGTGTACCAACGAGAATGCTGGACTCCCAAGGGAGTGGATTGTGAGATCCCACCTTAATTGGAAAGGGAAACAAAGCATATCTAGAGTGTGAAAACTTCTTCCTAGCATACGAGTTTTAAAATCGTGAAGCTAACGACGATACGTAACGAGCCAAAGCTGACAATATCTATTAGCAGTATGCTTGAGCTATTCAATGGACGTTTTCAACACTAACATCAAAACAGGTTCATATATTCATCTTCAGTGGCTTACATGTCAGTATGATTTTCGTATCCTGTTTATAGTGTTTCATCATCATTATTTGTTGTTTATATATTGTTTGGACTGCCAAGATCAGCATAGTACTTACTGATCCATCCTTTAATGATGTTAACCTCTGTCTCTCTTTGTTCCACCAACCACTGTGGATCCGTTTCATTTGCTCGTAAAATGTCCAAACAATGAGATCCTGGAAAGTTCAAAACATGTCAGCTCAAAAGAACAAAGCTTTGAAGTTAGAATTTAGGAGTCTGAATCAAACCATTAGGCGTATGGAGTGCAAGGAGACTGTCAGATAAGTTATGCAACACTCTGCATTCACAAAAAGAGAGAGAGAGAGTTGAAGTAAAGTTGATTGTTCTTTATGTGCAATAAATGTTGTAGCTTTGGTTTTCGTTTACCCGCCGCTGCTATAAGGGTCCCTTAGTCCATTGGAGAAAATGATGTTGCTGCCAAATCTCTTAAGGATGAGTTTTATGTCCTGAAATTTGAAGGGAGACAAAGAAATTGTGAGATTCTACGTCGGTTAGGGAGGAGAACGAACTATTATTTATGAGCGTGCGGAAACCTCTCCCTAGTAGACGCGTTTTAGAAACCTTAAAGGGAAGCTTGAAAGGGAAAGCTCAAAGAGGATAATATATGTTAGCGGTGGGGTTGGACTATTACAAATGGTATCAGAGCCAGACACTGGGTGATGTGCCAGCGAGGAGGCTGATCCCTGAAGGGGGTGGACACGAGGCGGTGTGCCAACAAGGACGCTGGGTCCCGAGGGGGGTGGATTGTAAGATCCTATATCAGTTGATGAGGAGAAAAAAAAACATTGTTTATAAGGGCGTGGAAACCTCTCTAATATAAAAACCTTGAGGGGAAACACAAAGAGGATGATATCATTTAGTGGTGGGCCCCGAAGGGGGTGAATACGAGGCGGTATGCCAGTAAGGACGCTGGGCCTCGAGGGAGTGGATTGTGAGATCCACTAACAGAATGGTCGGATGCACCCCGAAGGGGGGTGGATACGAGGCGGTGTGCTAGCAAGGACGCTGGGCCTCGAGGGTGGAGTGGATTGTGGAGTCCCACATCGATTGAAGAAAGGAACGAGTGCCAACGAGGACGCTGGCCCCGGGGGAGGGGGTGGATTGTGAGATCCCACATTGGTTGGGGAGGAGAACAAAACATTCTTTCCAGGGGTGAAGTTTTAAAAACTTTGAGGGGAAGCCTGGAAAAGAAAGTCAGAGAAAGACAATATCTACTGTAGATTTGGGCGGTTACAGTAATTTCAATAAAGAAAATAAAGAAAAAGAGAGAGGTGGTTGAAGTGCATACATGGCCTCCATAATAGGTGGTGACCCAGTGAGGCCTTGGAGACACACGGTATAACTCATTGCAGTAATCTATGAAGCTTCCAAGCTCAAAATTGTATGCTGGAAACATAGTATCATTGCCTGTGCTTAATGGCATCACCATTTCACTGCATCTCTGAGTTACACACATGTTAAGAATGAGAAATAGAAATAGAATTGGGATCGAAAGTATGATCTTCATTCAGGTTTACCACGTTTAAATAGGATACAAACTATCAACTAATACCTAAAAATAGAAAAAATATATATCTAACTAAATTTGGTAAATAAATAAAATATACGGTTAATAAAATCTATACTAACAACTCCCTAAATATCTGAGATATATTCTAACTAATTATCACGGCAAAATATCCTCTTAATACTCCCCCTCAAGTTGGAGAGTGTATGTCGATCACACCCAACTTGTCCTTCAAAAAGTCAAATTGCTGTCTTCCCAAAGCTTTAGTAAAAACATCTGCCAATTGCATTTTGGTCGAAACATAACACGGTTTGATGATTCCAGCTTGTAANATTCTAATACCTGCAACTTTTGAACTCTTTGCTAAGAATGGAAAGGCCATCAGGCTTGGAAGCAATTGTTTCAATCTTGGACCAGGAATCCCGAATGGTTTCATAGCAACTCTCACTAACGTCCTGCAAATTCATTCACATTTTTGTGTATTTAAAAAGTTCAAAGGGTTCAAAAGGATGCATTATTGTTGAGGGATCTTACTCTAAAATCCTTAGTGGCAATGGAATAGTATGCATCATGTGGCGTGATATTGTCGAAGTAAAGGATTGGAGCTGAAGAAGCAAGAGCTCCAAGGGCGACATGAGGATATTTCAGACGAAACCATGCAGCCAACACTGTTTCCAACAAAACAAAAAAAACATGTTCTGTTATATAGAGTTTGAAGATTTTTGTAACCGCTAGCAGATATTGTTCGCTTCGCACGTTACGTATCGTGGTTACCTCACGGTATTAAAACGCGTTTGCTAGAGAGAGGCTTCCACACCCTTACAAGAAGTGTTTCGTTCCCCTCTCCAACTGATATGAGATCTCACAATCCACCGCTCTTGGTGGCTCAGCGTCCTCGCTAACACACTGCCTAGTGTATGGCTCTGATACCGTTTGGAAAAGCTCAAGGCCACCACTAGCAGATATTGTCCGTTTTGGCCCGTTACGTATCGTCGTTAGCCTCACGGTTTTAAAATGCGTCTGCTAGGAAGAGGCATCCACACCCTTACAAGAAATGTTTCGTTCCCCTTTCCAACCGATGTGGGATCTCACAATCTACCCGCTTGGAGGCCCAGCGTCCTTGCTGGCACACTACCCGGTGTCTAGCTCTGATACCATTGACAACAGCTCGAGGCCATCGCTAGCACATATTGTCTGCTTTGGCCCGTTACATATCGTCGTTAGCCTCACGGTTTTAAAAGGCGTGTGCTAGGGAGAGGCTTCCACGCCCTTATAAGAAAAGTTTCGTTCCCCTCTCCACCCGATGTGGGATCTCACAATCCACCCCTCTTAGAGGCCCAGTGTCCTCGCTAGCACGCTACTCAATGTCTAGCTCTGATACCATTTGGAACAACTCAAGGCCATCGCTAGTAGATATTGTCCGTTTTGGCCCGTTACGCATCGTCATCAGCCTTACAGTTTTAAAACACATCGACTAGCGATTCGTTTCCACACCCTTGTAAGAAATGCTTCATTCCCCTTTCCAACCGACGTGAAATCTCACAATTTTAAACGAGAACTCACTTACTTCCACCATATGATCCACCAAGAACAATCACAGGAGAATCTTTAGCATGCAACTCCTTTTTAACATGTATAAGAACATCCGCATAATCTGCTATTGCTTGAGCAGAGTTGAAATAGCCTAAAGTGCTTGCATTCTTCAATGCTACCTCCCTTGATCCAAAGGGTATCGATTTCCCATAATAACGATGCTAACAACAAAACAAAACAAAATCATATAAACCCTCCAAAGCATTAAATATGAACCACACAAGAACATGAAAGCTCTTACCTCAATATAAACAAGAAGAGCCCCAAACTGAGCAGCATTATCAGTCGAGAATCCTACAACGTTCAAATCATTATCCAGTGGACCTTCAGCTCCCAAGTAGGCAAGAATGGGAGCGCTGGAATTTGCGCCGCCCCAATACTTAAAGTTGATTATATATCTATGAGCGAACGTCGTGTAGCTTTCAGGCCTATAATTGAAGTGATCTAACGTTTGGTTGTAATAAAATGTCTTGAAATCATCCGAAAGAGGCGAGGACAGAGCTTCAGAATCTCTGTCGGTTGGACTAAGCCTTGGGATTCTGTACTGTGTTGCAGAAACACAGGCTGAAAGGATGAGAAGTAAGCAGGGAAGAAGCATCATGGCAGAGTGCTTGGTTTGGCTTGATCTTCACAAACAAACAGCTCCTTTATATAACAAAAAGTTGTCCGGTTCACCGGTTCGAGTCTCGAACCAGTGGTTAGTAAGCTAGGCCAAGGCGCCTAATGAAAGGTAGTTGAATGGTTGAGTTGAGTTGATGGTCGGGAAGGCGAGTAAGTTATAGAGGTTTCTGCCAAATAAAGACACTCTTCAACGGCTTCATTCCTAAATATGCAATGAAGCTGTTGTCCTTATCAAAAATTTGCTTTTCTAATGCTAAAATCACTTCAAAATTCCTAGTTTTAGAATAGTGTCTTCGTGAAGAAAACTTCTAATCTTAATATCTTGATGTGTCGGTTAGGGATGTTCGTTAGTTGAGTTGGGTCCGGTTGGCTGAGATACTTTTTAGATCTTGGGCAACTAAATATACGTATATATAACTCGATCGGAAATAAAAATGTATATCATAAAATTTATAATAAATTCGAGTTTGTTTAGTTCAACCCAATCGACTTTCAGGAGAACCAATAAACCAATTCAATCTATAAAATTTTTATTTATTTAAAACCGCATAAATTAGGTTGGATTGATAAGATTTTTCTAATTATCAAGTTTTGTCGGTTGTGAAGATCGGAAGCTAAAGCTTAGAAAGTGGATGGAAAATTCAGCAGTAAACCGACGATTGGTCCAAGTTTGTGCCATTGAAAAAGTCTTTTGGAAAAACATTAAGTTCATATCTTGAAATGACTTGATACTAACATGTTGATACACATATGGTTTTAAAATAGTTCATCAGATCTCTCTAATTATCAAGTTTTCTTTTAAGATAATTTTAAAATAGTTAAATTTATATTTGTTATATTTAAATCATTTTGCAACGTGCTTTTTATAAAAATTAAAAAAAAAAGTGAGAAAATTATTTTTGATCATGTTTTTAGTACACACATGGAAGGTGGATTTGAAAGTAGATATTTTATATTTAAAGATTCCAGAAATTATATTTTTTTTTCCTTGATAACAAAAAAAAATATATATATATATATTTATTTTGATGGGAATTTTTTCATTAAAAATATTTTATTTTTTTTTAAGTAAAATAAGAATTAATATTTCGAGTTTGAAAACTTAAGAATTTAGGTGCATCAAAGTTGGAACATAGCTATATTGCACGTGTCTTATTGTCGGTTAACAAGGTTGTTTGTGGCATCGACGGTGGTGGTGCTGGAAGGGATATTCAAATTGGAATTTATAATTTCAACTCAACTTTATTTTTGTCTATTTTTTAGTTTAGCAAGAATTATTATATAAAAGAGTCAATTTTTTCGGTTAATAATATTATAAAAGAGTTGAATAAATTTTACTTTAATTTTATTTCAAGAGCATGTATTTTGGAATTAAAGAAAATTGTGTGCATATCACAAAAACATTAGGTAATAGAAACAAATTATTTTGAGCCTCATAAATTAATTTGTGTTTATGTAGTCTTAAGATTAAGAAAAGTATATAGTTTATCTATAAATTAAATTGCTAATAAGAGCAAAGGATTGAAAACTTGAAAAATAAAAACAAAACTGTAAGCCAACTAGATGTAGCTCTAAAAGTTTTTGGGAGTGAAATTAGAAAAGTAAGCTTTATCATTCTGAAATTCCTTGAACAAGGTTTCTAATTCCACTCATCGTATTTATTCTCGCTAGATTAATCAATAATAGAGAGTACATCTATTATTTCAATCGTCCATCATTGTATAATAAACTTTATATGCATAGAAATTTGGACAAGAAGAATTAGTAAGACACCTGGATGGATGGATGGATGGATGGATCAAGAGGATGAAGATCAACGAATCTCACTATTAGTCTCATTTTTTGTCTTTGTTGTCATCTAATTCGTCATAAAGAGTAAGCACGAATCACTTCTAGAATAGGCGCATGACATGTCGGACACTTTTCTCTTGCTTCGACCAACTCGTTAGCACATTTTGAACATGTGCACATGTGCCAAAAGGAGAAAATATAAGTTAAATGAAACTTGGAACTAGAGAAAAGCACACAAAAATGGTCTGATAATTTGCTAGAATTACCTATACAACAAAGCATCAATATGGTTATCACAACATGTACAACAAATTCCTTTCCTTACTCGGTCTCATTTGGGTTCTTCGTCTGGCAAACTGTCTTCCCTCCCTCCACCCATGCTGAATAACCATTTGAGTAAAGTATGATATATTTCGGTGGTACAGGGCAGGAACCACATTAAAAAAAAATAAAAAGTCCATGTCGAATTTTGGAAAAATATAATATCCACAACCAAGAAGCACAAAAACTACTTAAATTACTCATGAAATCACTTAGATTAAGGTATGCACCTCTGCAAATCAAGTACCATGTTGTATCTTTTTCTAGGGGGTGGGGTGGGTTCCCCAGGCAGCTTGTTAATTGATCAAATCTAAAACTAAAGAATTCAGCTACATTGAGAATGAAGGCATACCTTCTGAACCAGCTGTTCGGTTCAGTGCAGAAGAAACTTCTTGCTTAATTGAGCGCTGCAGCTCAAGTCGCATGTCCATGCATGTCTCCAACATTCTCTGTAGGTTGCTCATCCTCTGCTGTAGCCTAGACATGTCGATCCTCAAATCATTAATGATCTCCGAGTCCTGTAAAATTCAGCAACAACATCAAATTTAAAAGAATAGTAATAACAATAAAATAAAGAACGAAAAAAAGATGACCAGATTATCCAACAACCAACACTGGACTTCGCCTAATAGACAATTGCAATAATTCTAAATTTGAATTATAGAATCACAATTCATCAATCGTTTACCATTGATACTTGCACGTTTTCCTATCTCTTTTATTTACTTTAATCCAACTGATTTCATCCAAACAGAAAAGACAACAAACAAGGGAACAATGATGAGACATACAGCTCCAAACTGCTGATGGAAATCACGTCTTGACAAACTATCATGACTCAATTCATGTTCCCAAAGTTGCCGAGGGGGCATTGCAGGTGGCAGAGGCAAAGCAAGTGGATGGCTCGCAGCAGAACCCGTTTGACCTGCAGTCTGCCTGTCGTGCTCTTGCTCTTGTTTTACAGACGTGTAAGGGGACATCGTCTCGTCTAGATCCCCATTACTGGTACTGTGACCTCGCCTGTCTATGTAAGATCGAATTAACTGGTCAAGACTTTCTCAGAAACCACTACTAAGAAGAGTAGAGACACTTCTCCTGCGTAATAAAGAAAAATAGTCCACATGTAAATTCACCATTTAGTCTGAATTCCGCCAGGCATGTTGTTATATAAATTTTTTGATACGTATTTAAAAGTTCTCTCATTTCCACATTATGCACATTATTTTCTTCACGAAAATAAAAGGTCTCCAACCTTCGGCTGGATGTAGCCTCCCGACTAGGAGAGCCCTCTAACCAATTAGGCACATCCTCCACAATGATAACATTTTCATGTGAAGCTCCAGGGGCATTTTACAGATGAATATCTCCTCTGTGTGTCGTACTCGAGAATTCTCCAGACCAATTAGTAGTGTGATGCTTTCCAACCGAGTTTCGTTTATATCTTCTTCAATGCTATTTTTCCATTCATCCCGTTGAAAACCATATGCTTGCCAATCATTTGGCTCAACTCCCATACCTAGATCTTCATTCAGTTCCTCGTGAGAAGTAGATTCCAGCGGATCTACATTTTCAAGATCATTGTCTTGAAAACTTCTAGAATTATCTGATAATACTCCAATATCATCATATTCCTCGCGGGTATCAATTTGTTGAATGGAAGATTCGACATCTGGTATGCTAGTATGATCCTCGGCATCAATCTGAGGAACTTCAAGGTATAAATTTTTTGCAGCAATTTCTTGTAAAATTCTTCTCATACGTTGTCCTGAATCTTCTCTCATCTCCATTGAGTTGATATCAGCTGTTTGGCTGGCTACACAATTTTCTTCAACCTATTCTTGTGTATTTTCTAGCGCATCAATAGATGCTTCCCTACCTTGAGCACTAATTCTTTCTTAATCATATCTGACTTGAGTTAGACCAATGCTATAAGAGCTTGCGTTATGACTTTCCACGTTAATTGGCCCAGAACGTCCAGGAAGATCATCTAGGACCTCAAAACTCCTTGTACGATTTAGGTCAGTTAGAGAATAACCATCATCACTATTGTATGTGGTGTCAGAATGCCCGCTACTTGCTTGATCTTGAACAGAATTATCCTATCGGGAGAAGAATCCTTCCCTAATTCAAAGAAAGTCAAAATATCATTAGTATTATCAAAAGGGATAGGCCAGCATTACAAAGTGGACAAGCAGGTCAAGTTGCCAATGAGCTTGAGTGAAAAACAACCGGCAAAAATTCAAGGTTGACACTGAAGGAAATAATACACGACTCTCATTCTAAATCAAGTGAATTAGGGAGTTTTTCTTCCTCGAAATTTTTGTAGCACCCGAAGTCGTGACCTTTTACACTTTCACAAACTTCAAAGTAGCATACTATTATTCAACTTCACAACATTTGAAAGATCCCAATCCTTTTACACTTTCACAAACTTCAAAGTAGCTTACTATTATTCAACTTCACAACATTTGAAAGATCCCAATCAAAGAAGGTTAATCTTCCAAGCAGGTAGCAAGTTTTGGACCTAAGACTTCTTGGTTAAAGTTAACGACCCTTAGCCGCAATGCCCAGTGATCAGATTTGTGTTTTCTTGACTATAACTGGTAATAAATTCAAGTTCAACGAGGAAAACGAACAATGTCCATCAGTGTTAACATTAATGTAGAAAAAGACGTTAGTACGAAGGTTTGTTAAGCTCTATGTTTAGTTTAACCAAATTAAGACACAGTAATCAGTGATCAGATAACTTTTGGATTGAGGATATACAATCGCATATGAAATTGATCACTATTTCTCATACCTCGGTAATTTAGAAAAATTTAGTTTCCTAATAATGTAATTAGCATTAACGATGTTGCTAGACATTAGACATTTCATGTTACATGCCAATGATGATTGGAGTGGCATTGATGAGACACTCGTAGCAATTTACATGGCAGTAATTTGACACTAGTTGTCCATTCTCGAAGTTTCTCTTATCTACAAGCAATGTACTAATGATATTCAAACACGGCAGTATAGGAGTACCGAGGTTATTCTTGGATCAAAATATTCTAATCCAGCAGATATGTGGTCATTTGCTTGCATTTGTTTTAAGTTGGCCACTGGCGATGTTCTCTTTGATCCACAGAGTGGTGACAACTATGAAAGGGATGAGGTATGTTCAGAGACTTTTTTTTTTTTTTTGTTCTTCTTTTATCAGTATGATTATTTTTTTCTTTCTTATACTCATTAATTCTTAACGTGTAACATTTGTTAATCGAGTCTCACCTCCCCTTGGGAAGCATTGTTTCTACTCATAGTAAAGTCCCACATTTTCAATCGTTTGAAAACCATGCGTAAAAGTTTTTTTTTTTTTATTTGTTATTGTTGTTTGTTTGAGTTATCAACGAGTTATAATTTTATTCTTTAACACGTTTCTTCCGTTGTAGCTGTAACAGCGGCATAATGTAGAAGTTTATCTGATACTGAAATATTTGGTCGGTTGTTTTATTTTGGTTAACTGGTGGAGGAGGCTCAATTTAATTTCAACAATGTCATACACTAAATATGTCAGGTGAATAATTTGAAAAGACTGTCCATTGGAAAATATAAAGAATTTTGCTTTTAACTTGATGCCTTTCTTTCCGTTTTTTTAATACAATGTGGCTATTATCTCAGCTAATCATATTCCCCTTAGCTTGTAGGATAGTGGTAGTATACATATGGTACTTATTTCTTATTTTTTTTAAAACAACTATATGTATATCATGTCGACATCACTGGTATACGTGTTTGAGGAACAGCAAAACAAGACTTTGCCATGAGTATTAGCTTATTACGTGGACCTTCTCTTCTGGAAGTTGTAATTTCTACTCTTTATTTTATTTTCAGGATCATTTCGCATTGATGATGGAGCTTCTTGGAGTGATGTCTCGCAAGGTAATGTTTACATACTTACAAATACCATGTCGTCTTTATTTTATATATTTAAAAAAAATTTCACTTATTTATAGTTTGCTCTTTCTTAAAATATCGGGCACAGATTGCATTAGGTGGGTGCTATTCAAGGGACTACTTCAACAGATATGGCGAGTTGAGGCATATTCGTCAATTGCGCTTTTGGCCTCTTAATAAGGTGTTTACTGAGAAGTATGATTTCAGCAAGCAAGATGCTAATGACTTGGCTGACTTTCTTGTTCCTTTATTGAATTTTGTACCTGAAAAGAGACTAAGAGCAGCACAATGTCTCAGCCATCCGTGGTTGAGTTATGTCTCAAGAATTCTTGAATCTTCTGTATCAACCCATCAAAATCAGCCCAAAGATCAGGAGCTTCAACTAAAAGAAGCAAGAAGGACGAGAGAGAGAAGCTATGGAGATTGTAATGGGAAACATAACTATTGATGGAACTTCGAAATCGAAGTCGTCGAAATAGACATGACCAGAAATGGCAACGTACGCGATTTCAGGCTATGTTTCGTGCAGTATAATCGTGGTCTATAGCTCGGGTTTCCATCGGAGTTGGAAACATATTCATGAACCACATGGATTCAGTGTTGTCCTACATGCTATCCGAAGCAATCATCATCTTTTGCTTTGGTGAGAGTCGACCAGCATTCGTAGGCCCATCTCAAGCAACTTCGAATGGTGGATTGTTTTGACAGTGTGCGCGTTCGAGTATGATTTGCATATCTTCACAAACTAACAATATTTCTTGGTGTCTTGTAGCACAACTTTCTAGATCATAATTTCTTTGTGAAACCTTGAGCAGATCTAAAATATATTTTTGGTGCTAGATTCTTGCCATTTTGTTTATTGTAATGTTGGCCACTACCGGGTTTTCTATTTAAAAATGAACTTTTTTTATATATTAAAACTTTTCAGATAGAAAATAATCGGGCGGCCCAAAAGGGGATGGAGGATACCCGGCTCAATCAACGAAATGAGCATATGGTCGAGGACTGGGAAGCAGGGAAAATTTCAGGCCATACGAATACGACGCTTCCCTAAAGACAATCTTGTGGGGAAGCCGAGGTTGAAGACGACTGCAAGTCCATAACCTAATCGTATTCTTGACCCTTGAAACCTGTCATGGAGCTGGCCTCGGATTCCGACCTTGTAGAAGTGGAATTGGAGCCAGACCTTGACCATGTAGAAGTTGGTAATGGACTTGTCCATTGTCACAATCGCACTTTTGCAGTAGCGAGATAGCGACTGTGCGACACTTGTTCTAACCCAGTGAACAAATCAGTGATGTGAATTTCAGATTTCGTGGACGATATCGACGTATGCTCGAACCTCAGGTTATGTTTGAGAGAAATACTTTAGAAAATTTGTGCGAGGTAATACGCTAATTTATTTGATAGTTTTTGAAGTTGTGGATGTATTAGACACAAAAGTAAGAATTAAAAAACTTACCAACTGCAATAATTATTAAATATTAGATCTATTTTGTTGATACTTTTAACCCTTTTTTTCTAAGACATAACAGAAATACTAATTTTTCATTTATCACCATATTGAACTTATAAACACATGAAAATGTTGGCACATTGATGAAAATTTGAAAAGCGCCGGATTCTTATTCTTGTTGACTTGACGGAACTTAGCAAACTACCATTTTTTCAAAAAGTTATTTTTGTTGGTAGAGAGAGGCGTCTTGATGATTTGAAGTGAAGAAGAATGGACTATTTGGGGGACCGACCATATTCTTTGACATAATGGTTTATGGATCCTTGTAGGATGGCTATTGTGTAAGCCACTTGTAATGATAATGAGAAGTGGGGTTGAATGAGAACAGGCTAAGAAATCCATAAAAAGACTTAAGCATCTGCTCTTGAGTGGAGCACTTCAATAATGGTTTCGGTGCATGCTGTTGAAACCACTTTGTGAGGGTGTCATAAAGTTCTAAACCCCTTCCTTCGGCCCCTTTTTCTCTTCATACAACGTCCAAGAATATGAGAAAAGCACCAAAATGTCCACATTTCTTTTTGTTGGGAATAAACTTAAATGGAAAAAAGAAAATAAGGGTAGTTTTTTGTTTTGTTAAATTTAGTAAGGCTTTTTGAATTTTAGCGTAAGAAGGAAAGGAAAAGGAAAAGCAAAAGGCCAAAGAAAATATGGGGACAAGAATAAGTCCATTCGTTTTCATTGTAAAAAGAGGAGGCAGAGAGAAAGAGCAGGAGACAGAAAGCAAAGCGTATAGTGTAATAGAAAATAGTTTTTTCAGAATTTCTCTCTTTTGTCCCCTTGTCTCTCCCCTCTCAACACCTCCTTCACAGCTTCGTGAGAGTTATTTAAACAAGTTGGTTTCAAAGTGAGCGTTTATTTTTTACAAGTTGGTATCGGAGCGAATTGTTATTTCAACAAATTGGTATCAGAGCGAGTTTTATTTCAACAAATTGGTATCAGAGCCGATGGCGAACATGATGGAACAAAAGAAGCACGGGACACTTTAGAAAAGGTGTTCAAAGGAACCGACCGAGTCAAGACGGTGCGTCTCCAGACACTCTGCGTGGCGAGTTGGAGAGCATGAAGATGAAGGAGTGAGAAAATGTATTTGACTACATCACGCGCGTACAGACCGTGACAAATCAACTAAATCGAAACGGAGAAATGTTATCTGAGACGCGGGTTGTGGAGAAGATGTTGAAGTCGTTAACAGGCAACTTCGAGAATGTTGTATGAGACATAGAAGAGTCGAAGGACCTAGCGACGTTCACGGTCGATGAGCTCGCCGGAGGAGGAGACACACGATCAAGCGCTTCAACTAAGGCATCAATAAAGGATGAAAAGATACTCTTCTCTCAAAATACTCAAGGTAGAGGTCGTGGAAGTCGCGGGAATGGTCGAGGTAGTCAAGGCAACAGTTACGAAGAAAACTATAAAGAGAAGAGACTATCGAGCCAAGCAAATAGGCGTGGAAGAGGACACAATCAAGGACGCGGTCAAGAATACAATTCCCACATCCAGTGTTACAAATGTCAGAAATATGGCCACTATGCAAATAACTGTAACTTCGACAGATGTTACAATTGTGGCAGAATGGGTCATTATTCAAGAGATTGTCGAGCCGATGAAAAGGTGGAAGAAACGATCAACCTAGCCTTGGATGACGCAACAAACGGAGGCATTCTCTTGATGGCCCAAAATGAAGAGCTGAAAACCAAAGAACACGGCGGTGCAAAAGACGACGGCGATAATCGTGAGGCGATGGAAACTAATAGAAATGAGATGATGCACAGCTGATACCGGAGACGAGAAAATCGAATAAAGATGAACAACCGAATAATAGAGAACCCGAGCTCGAAGAGAGAGAGCTCCACTAGCTGGAAAAGAAATTCGAGGAAGAAAGAAGAAAGAGGATGAGAATGGAAGAAGAAAAGAGGACAGAAATGCAGATTGAACATGAGAAATAGATGGTTCAAATGCAAGCTGCAATCCCTTCAAAATCCCTTGAAAATCCCAAAACAATGACGAAGAAGAAGCCCATGCGATTCGCGAACGAGCCAATGAAACTGCCAGATCTCGAGGAGGAGAATAGAGATTAAGAGCAACAACCCAAAACTGCCGTGGATAAATCTGTGGAGAAGTCTCAATTGCAGACGTTGAAATCACTGAACGAAAGAAAAGAAAGTTTGAGAAAATGAGATAGAAAGGTTAGAGAAGGAAGTGGCTGAGCTGAGTGAGAGTTCCTTCTATCTCAAACAGGAGAGGAAAAGAATGGGAATGTAATCTCTGATCTTATGAAGAAAGTTGAAGAAGGTGTGGAGAAAGAGAATGACATGTTAATGGTGATTGAGGCTCTAGTGGACGAGCTAGTGAGGGAGGAGAAAGATATAGAGATGCTGACTCTACAGAGAGACTCACTCGACGTGAACCTGAATCAAATCCAACAGGAGGCAGTGAATTTACGATACACGATTGAGATACTCACTCGTGATAAAGTCGAAATGGAGGAAGAAAAAAATGCTAGCTGTAAATGTCGCTGTGGACTTGAGAAGAGAATTGAGTAAACTGAACGAAGCCATGATGTCCGAGTCAAGCGTGGCTAAGAACGGGAGAAATGAAGAGTTGGTGTCTCAGATAGGCTATTCTCGAGAAGATCCAAATGAAGTCTCATCAGAGAAGGACAAGCTTAGTCTGCTGCTCGAGGACAAGGAGAGAAAATTGAAGAAACCACAACTGAGCTCAAGAAAACAAAAACGACGCAGGTGGAATCGTTGAATAGAGCATTTAAGTTTATGGGGAAGTTTTGTTGGTTATAAACTTAAATGGAAAAAAGAAGAGAAGGGTAGTTTTTTATTTTGTTAAACTTAGCAAGGCTTTTGAAATCTGAGTCGTGAGAAGGAAAAGGCCAAACAAAAAATACAGGGACAACAATCACTTGAGGAGAGAATGGGTTATGGGATCGCTCATTTTAAATCTCAGAAACCCTATAAATTGATTCGTTTTCATTGTAAAAAGCAAGAGGCAGAGAGCAAGAGACAGAAAGCAAAGTGTACTGTGTAATAGAAAAGAGTTTTTTTCATAATTTCCTTTGTCCCCTTGTCTCTCCCCTCTCGACACCTCCTTCACAGCTTCGTGAGAGTTATTTAATCAAGTTGGTTTCAGAGCGAGCGTCTATTTTTTACAAGTTTGTATCGGAGCGGATTGTTATTTCAACAAATTGGTATCAGAGCGAATTTTATTTCAACACTCTTTAGGGGCCATTATTGAACGATTCAACTGTTCGTGAACTTTCAAGTTTGTATCTAGGAGAACGTTCAAGTTCATATATTTTAAGTGTTAAGTGATGGACTGTGAAATCTCATATCGGTTGGAGAGGGAAATGAAGCATTCTTTATAAGGGTGTGGAAACCTCTCCCTAGTAGACGCGTTTTAAAACAGTGAGGCTGATGGTGAGATACGTAACGGGCCAAAGCGAATAATATCTTCTAGCAGTGGGCTTGAGCTGTTACAAATGGTATCAGAGCCAGACATTGGGCGGTGTACCAACGAGAATGCTGGACTCCCAAGGGAGTGGATTGTGAGATCCCACCTTAATTGGAAAGGGAAACAAAGCATATCTAGAGTGTGAAAACTTCTTCCTAGCATACGAGTTTTAAAATCGTGAAGCTAACGACGATACGTAACGAGCCAAAGCTGACAATATCTATTAGCAGTATGCTTGAGCTATTCAATGGACGTTTTCAACACTAACATCAAAACAGGTTCATATATTCATCTTCAGTGGCTTACATGTCAGTATGATTTTCGTATCCTGTTTATAGTGTTTCATCATCATTATTTGTTGTTTATATATTGTTTGGACTGCCAAGATCAGCATAGTACTTACTGATCCATCCTTTAATGATGTTAACCTCTGTCTCTCTTTGTTCCACCAACCACTGTGGATCCGTTTCATTTGCTCGTAAAATGTCCAAACAATGAGATCCTGGAAAGTTCAAAACATGT